AATTTGAATTTTCACCTCCAAATCTGAGATATATATTTTTTCAAAAATAATAATAATTTATTCATAAAAATAAATTTTGAAATAGTCTTTCCATTTTAAGTTAACGGTTTTTAAAATACTTTTGTATTGAAGAACTATTTGGCAAAATGTATTTTGGAAATGCAAGAAATTTAATAACAGTTGCCAATAAGTTCACTTTACTTAATTGAGAAGTAATTTTTAATTTCTTTGGATGCAAAAATTTGAAAATAATATATATATGTATGTATGTATTATTGAATATTTGAATGCAAAGATAGAAAGACAAATAAATCAAACCAAGCTGTGATGGATTTGGAGCTATCTGTTCAACCAACTTCTCTCTAATTAAAGAAAATAAATTAACATTATTAATTAATTTAATTGTTTTTATTGTTACTTATTTAAAATATTTATCACTGAGATCTTATGGCCAATGACATTTTATTTAAATATTGTAATGTTTTGTTCAGCTGCCACTGGAAATATATGGTTTTCTTGCAGTACTAAGCAAAAATAATAATAATAAATAATAAATAACTTAATTTTATTTACTTATTTATTCTTATGTCCATTGCTTGAAGCAACATATTTCTCAACTTTTTCTAGTTGATTTTTAATCTTTATCTTTAGCTTAATCGTGCATTTTTTAAATTGGGTTGATTTTCGGATCGATGCAGGTGATTTATTATAAACTTTGTTCATAATACAAATTTTATCCTCTTACTTGTTTTAAAATATTGAATTGAAACTATATTATAATTTTAACAAATTTAATAATAAGTTCAGGATGTGTTAGCTCAACATAATTTTTTTTTTCGAGAAATACACGATTGATTTTATTTGTTTTATAAAATGCATAATAAATATTTTTAAATTAATAAATAAAATGTAACAGTTTTGAATATTTAATTTAAAAAACATAATACTATTTTTTCCAAGAATTTGACAACATAATTATCTTTAAAAAAATTTTGTTTATTACAATAAAAATAATAATAATAATGCTTGATAAGCAAAAAAATTAAAAATAAAAATTGATTTTTCATTAGAATAAATAAATAAATAAAATCGTTATCAAACATATTTTTATCTATTTAAGATAATTGAGAGTTGTACCAATAAAAGTGCCAAAAAATGGAGCTAGTCTTAGAGACAGAACATGGCCACTATATATTTGACCAAATTCATTTAAATATTAAGAATCAATATTGACCCAAATATGTTTGATTTTAGTATTCATAAAATAAACTTCAATTAATGCTACAATAAACTAGTGTTTTCCCCCCCTTTTTAGTTCTAACAAATGTGGGGAGGAGATTTATTTCAAATTATAGATTCATATTTTCTTTAATATTATTTTTTAGTTTCTATATTTTTGACTCTGGTCTATTTCACTCCTGTAATTTTGAAAGGTTGGTTTTAGTTTATATACTTTTAAAAATAAATTGTTTTGTCCATTTTATTTTATTTTATCAATGTTTATTCCATCATAATTCAACATGATCCTACACTCAATATGTTTTTTTGAAAATATAGTCATAACTTTATATTAAAGAGTTTTCGTCGCTGTATATATAATTTATGACAAAATTTTGCAAATAGTGATTAAAATGTTCATTTTTTAAAAGTACAGTGACCAAAATAAATATTTTGAAAGTACATAGATTATACACAAACTAAAATAAACATTTTTAAAAATATAAATACCAAAATGAACAAAAATTGAAACTACAAATATCAAAAGTCTTTCGAACCTGTATATATATTATTCGTGGAAGGAAAAATCAAAATGAAAGGACGAGCTGAAAATGTCAAAAGGTAGTAGTGGGAGTGTGGACCATGACAAAACTATATATCAACTTTGATATTTATTTTGGACAACTAAGTTTTGAACTTTTAAACTTTAACAATGGTGACATTGAAAGAGAAAGACGTAGTATCAAGATATAATCGACGAACTTTAATGAATATATATTAGATATTTTTAGATTTGATCATATATGAACAACACGTTCGGCTGTTCAATGTATTAATAAACAATAATTCAATGATATATAAATCTTCCATTAATAAGTTTATGGACTTAACAGAAAATTTTTAATATAGCAAGAGTAAGTGAAAGAAATTTAAAAAGGTTAATAATAAGAAAAAAGAGTAGGGACTATTTTGAATATTTAGCCTAAATATCAAATGTTTGGATTTTAATATATATATATTAAATTTTTAGTTTAATTCCAGATAAAAACTATTTTGGTTTAGGCTCAAATTTTTAACACATTAATAATATTATTTAAAATGAGATTTTATGAACCAAATTGAAATGTAAACCAAAAAATATTTTAGTTAAAATAGCATGCTGCCATATAAATATGTTTATCAAATAATGATAGTTTTTTTTTTTTTTAAGTTTCACAGAGCTAAATTATGTAAGATTCCTTTCTATCTTTATATCTAGTTTCAATTTTATCAACTCTTAAAATTTTTCATTTGAATTTCAAATTTGTAATTTATAAAAAAAGAAAAACTTTATTTAATGAAATTAATATTAAAATACTAGAATTTAATTAAAATTTATATGTATAGACAAAATTGTATCAGGCTAAAGTATACCAAGTTGATTTCAACTCTCTTTTTAAATTAATCTATTATTTCTTTTTAATGATAAATGTTTGTATTTGTTATTTGTGTTTTTTGTTGACCAGTTGAAAAAGCATTTCTTTTTTCTTTTTTTGGGAAGAGAGGGAGGCCACTAATTAATGAGATAAGATGGGCAAGATATATAATAGTCATCTTGTTTGCTTTGTTTTTTAATATATATATATATATATATATATATATATATATATATATATATATATTAGAACATGTACATTGCATATTCATCACAATATTTGAGTCACATATAAGTTTCTTCGTTGAGCTATGCTCATACTCATAACTGATATTAACGGTTTGAATTTGAACTCAAGACATAAAATTAAATTTTGAATTTTAAAATATGTATAATGTTTTATAACTTTCAAATTGATGTTTAACAGGTTCCTAAACTTAAAAAATATCTAAATGTTAAATTTTGTGTCGAGTAGATCCCTCAACTTTTAATCTTGTGTATAATATTTATGGACTTGTTTGACATGTTTTTAGACTTTACAAATCTACATAAAATTCATTCTAAATGTTAAAGGCTCAAATTCCTAGCAATATTATAAATAAACGTTTTATTTTGTTAAATTACAATTGTAATGTTGTATATAATTCTTTTTTCTTGTTTGTAATGTTGTATACAATTTTATGTACGATAGGTAATTGCTATTTCTAAGTCTTTAAGTTTTAAATGTTGTATCTAATAAGTCGATGAAAAAGTATCTGACAACTCAACTTTTAAGTCAGTAACTAATAAATCTCATTATTTTTTAAATTAATGAATCTATTAATCACGATRTTAAATTTTTTTGTCTAATAAGACAAAAACTTTGAAAAATATGTAAATTCAAACAAATTTCTAACAGTAAAAATTTGTTACACAAAATTGAAAAGATATAAACTTATTAAACACTTTTAAATTCCACACAAATTTAAAACTTTTGGAATCAACTCAACACAAAAATGAAAAGTTATATTAAACACTTTAAAATCCACCGGCCTATCAGACATAACCTTAAAATTTCCAAAACTAAAACTTGTAAAATGTTCTTTAAGCAGGACAGGGGAGATCTGAACAGTAACAGAGATAAAGAATTCTATATCAAATCATTCAATAAGAATGGGAATCAGTGAAGAACACAACTTTTTGTTTTATCGAACATGTTTCAAGAAAAAATCAAATCAAATCAAAGGGAAGAGTGTAGAAATCAAGATGAAACACACAACAAATTCACTTGAAACAAACAAACTGCACTTGATTTCCTCTGGCTGCCATCTTCAAATTCCAATACAACAATGGTACAGTTCTTGTTCAGCTCCAAATGAACCTGAAAACCAGAGCACAAAAACCAGCAGCTTCTTCAGTGTATTGTATCAGATGTGTAGAGTGAATGAAACAACCCTGTACACTGTTTCACTTTCAGTTTATTCAAACGGATTTGGATCGGTTCCATTTGGTTCGAAATCGAGAAGATGTTTCCTGATATCCCTGTTCAGTTCTTATTCAACTCCCAAGTAATTAATGGCTAAGCCACCAATGTCTCCATCCACCACCAGACCCTTCTCCTCCTCCTCTACTGTGAATCCACCATAACAGATTCGAGAGCGAGTTCCCGTCGTCGAAACCTCCCAAGTTTCTGATCTTCCCCAACGCCCCGTCTTTATCGTAAACGCCCTGCAAGGCGTATGCAAATCCCTTCCATCCTTCCCCAACTCCTTCCCTTCCCAAAGAAGGCAATGTCCACTCCACAAGCTCCCTTGCAAACCCAACATCAGAGAACAAGACCTCAGTGATGGGCAATAAAGGCAGAACCTGAATCCCAAGCCTACATTCCCTCCAATCAGGAGGAGCAAACCACAAGCCACTGTCCCTTTTGTTGGACCACAACACACCAACCACCTTGTTTTCTCTTTCAAAATCAACCTCGTACAGATTGTCCCCTTCCCTGATTTGCCACCATGTTTGAGCTGCCTTGATCTCCATTGCTGTGAGTGTTGATCCAATGGAAGCAAGATGGGTGTCTCCATAAGCCAGCCCCAACAGAGCTGCTGAGTAATAAGCATTCACAGCCTCACTGGTGCTCTCCTGATTCCGACCGTCGGCGAATTCGGTTAAACCCGAAGCCCAGGAGTGCAGTTTATACAAATCGAAGCATCTCAGGCGTGGGAAGCTTGAGTTTGGTCTCCTACTCAAGTTCATGAAATCCGCCATTAAAGAGTAAGCTTGAGGCCTGAACTTTCTTCCCCAAGCTGGGTCAATCTTCACCAGCACAGCAATGGCATAGAGAAAGTACCCAATATGGAAATGGTGGTCATTATACACTCCAAATCCAAAATCTGCACCAGAATCAGAGGACCCTTGTTGGGTCACAAACCCACCCCATTTCCCATCGTAAAGAAACCCATTTCCATTGAAAGTCCCACGAAGCCATGGCTCAATCGCCCCCTTCAGAAACTTCCTCACCTCTGGAATCACCTGCAGAAAATTCACTTCCTCAGCAATCAATGCGAGCCTCGCGGCTCTAGCAATCGATTTCCCATAAAAGTAAGACGATGTTGTTGTTATGGGTGCAGAGTTTAAGCCCTCCACATCTTTCACGAGCGCGGAGATGATTTCGCTGTGAAATTCCGCTCCCACGCCATTGATTGAGTGCCAAGTTACAGAAACAGGGTCCGATTGCAAGACCCACGAGCTTCCGACGATGCCGACGAGGTCGCCGTCGATGCTTTTGTACTTTAAGTCATCGAGAACGGCGCCGCCGCCGGAGAGGAGGCGGAGATGAAGAGGGTGAGCGAGCATGAGCAAATCGCCCCACCCTCTCTTCTCCCATTTGTACTCCAAACAAAAAGGGTTTCCAAACTTCGCCTCACCGGAAACCGGGTAGCAAGAACTGAACCGGTCGAGTATCGATTCACAATGTGGGTCCGGCACCGCTGCGATTCGGATGATGCCGGAAAATCCACCGGAAGTTATCTTCGAGAGATCGTGGGTAAAATTGATCGGAGACGAGGAGTAAATCAGCCATGTCTGATTATTATTGAGCGTGACAGTGAATTTAGTGAACGAACTATTGGAAGAAAACGAGAGAATCGCGTGAATGGTGGAGATTGAAATTGGGGTATTGTTGAAAACCTCGAAGGTCAGAAATGGGCTTCCCCGGACGAGGAATGATCGGAGATTAGCGGAGGGAATGTCGAGAGTGACACTGAGATCACTGAATTCAGAGATTATATGCGATTTCTGTGAAAACGAACCGGAATTTCCAGCGGCGGAGACGGTCAAATCGGCGTTGAAAACCTGGAATCCGACAGCGGAGTTGCAGACGATTGAAGGGTACGAAATAGCGATGGAGGAGAGGGCGGATTTGATCAGATAGGGGTGGATGTATTCCGGCTGATCGCCATTTTTGACGGTGAAGTTTTGGAAGAAGGAATTTGTGGGGAGAGGGGAGGAGAGGAGGTGAGGGGAGAAGAAATCGGAAGGATCAGGGAGAACGGTGGATTGGGTTTGGGGAAACGGAACCGGCGCGGCGGGCCGCGGCGACTGCCGTAAAGGCTCGAATGGCGACGACATGGCCGGCGGCGGAGGCGGTGAAAGAGGAGGAGATTGAAATGGGAATTTATAGCTGCTGAAGCTCTTGTTGATTAAGGTTTTGAATCTTTTGAAATTTCTTCTCAGCTTCTTCAACATGGTGGGGTTGGATTTGTTAGCTTATTAACAGTCAAAGATCAATTTTTTAGTGGAATAATTAATGAAATCAACCATGAGGAGAGATTCAGAGAGTTGACTTAAAAAAAAATAATGAGGGAAATGGGTATTTAAAGATAAATTTGGGAGAATTTTAATTGGGAATTTTGGATTAGAAGTGAAGTTAATTGTGGAAGTTTACAAAGGAGATGGAGGATTGCAAGTAATCCAATAAGGTTGATTGATTCATCATTCTGAAGGAAAGAAAGAACAAAAATTTGGATATGGGTTTTGTTTGTTACTTTATCTTCAAGGGAGAATCAAATAAAATGTGTCTTGTTTTTTTAAGTTATGTTTTTTTTTTCAAATAAAGTTATGTTTTTTTTTTCTCTATTCCATAGTTTGGTTAAAGTGTTTCTATAATTGAATCTTTTGGTATTTCTCTTTTTGATGCTTTAATTTGGAGTTGGGAAAAGTTATGACTCGAAGTTTAGAAGTAATTGGCTTGACTAAGTATGTGAGTAAAATGATATCATCCAAAAAGTAATACAATTTCAAACGTGTTGATAGAAATATATAATGCTTTTGATTAGTACCAAGATTAATTTTTTTTCTCACGATACAATATATTATTGACATTAACATAGTTCAAAATAAAAATAGGTATTTTTTTAAGATTAATTTGTTATTGTTGAATTCGGATTTGGCTCAAAAACCGGTAAGAAGTAGGTATGAGCTTGAAGAGCGAGCTTAATTAAAAAAAGGCTTAAAAAAAGGAAAAAGAAAACTCAAGTTAATATGTTGGAGGAAAGAAAATAAATTCCAACCATTAGCATTAATTCAAATTGGAGCTAATTGTGGATCTAGATTATTTGTTTATTATTGTATACAATTATTTTCCTTAATTGTTTTTTTTAAACAATTATTTTCCTTAATTGTTTAATTAGGTTTATGCTATATTTGTATAACGGCATCCTTGTATAGGAAGACAATACACAAAATATATTATTTCATCTTTCATTTGCTTACATTAAAAGGTTGATCTTAGGTCTCAAGTTAAGGAATCAAATTGCCTACCTGAAGTTGGAATTACGCTCCTATTTATATAGGGTATCAAGTGGTGGAGTCCATGTAACTGTTATATTAGGTCGTTGACCAATTAGACGGTTACATTAGGTCGAACTTTGTATCTCTGTGTATGACATTTCTTTCAACCAACAGGAATATGATCGGATTATTAGGTCATGTTTGGTTGAACTTCAAAGGTCGACCACTTCATATTTCTGGGATTATAGGAAAAAAGATCTAACATACCCGACCTTTCCATATGCCTAGTCTCATTACGTCTCAACCAATTGTTCAAATTTATTCTCTTATTTTTTACTTAATTCGTAATATTCTTTAAAGTTAAAACGACGTATTTAAAATTTTGAATTATTTCCAAACCAAATCTCTTTCAAAAAAATCAAGCTAAGTTAAATATTAATAAATTTTAAAATGGCAAGAGGATGCACAAGACTTCCAAAACAATGATCAATGGAAGACTTTAGAGCGAAGCCTCCGATCTTGAATTTGAGCAATACTATTATTGTTTAAGAACAATTATTGGTCTAATTTGTCAAAAAAATTAATCTCAAAGTGAATAAAATTAGAGGAAAATTATATAAATATTTTGTATTTTTCGAAAAGGGATGATCCAAACCATCTGAAAATTTTCAGGTCAAGGAGGATATGAGCAAATATTAATTTTAAAGCTAGCCTTCTTTAGAAAAAGTTTTAAAATTTATTCTCTAACGTGCAATATTGCATAAAACGATTTAATACAAAAAAAATGAATTTAAACAATTGGAAGAAAATTAAAAAGAAAAAAATTGTATGACATTTTTAACGCGTAGGGAGCGGACCTGTGGGAGACACGTGGCCTGAGTTTGAGACACGCGGCTAAGGTTGAGATACTTGCCTGAGAAGTAACTTTTGACAGTTATGAAAGTAAATAAGCATTTTCTTATTTCTCTTTAAAAAATTATGGTGCTTTTAATTTGTATTTAGAAAACACAAATTTGAAAACAAGGGATTGAATGGATATCAGTTTGTATTTTTTATTTTAAGTATTTTGAGATATGTATTTGAAAAATTGAATCCCAATTTAAAAAATTGGTCAATACGTATTTAATAGTATATTTTTAAGTTACAAACTGAATATTTAATTTAATCTAAAGTTATATTAATTAATTTATTAGAATATGTTATATTTTACTTTTTTAATTTTAACAAAAATGAATTAATATATTTATCAAAGTTTTTATCATTTTAATTTAATTCTGCATTTTATAAATTTCAAATTTTGAATCGAAAAACACTGAAAAATTTTCAAAATTTTTACTATTTGAATCACATAATTCGAAAATAGTTTTCAAAAACAAATTTCACGACAAACGTTAATTTAGTGAATCTGAAAGCAAAAATCAAAATCCGAATTTCCAACCAAACAGACACTTTTAACTCCCTTTCACACTAGTTAAATTATAAGGTAATTTGTTTTTTTTYYTTGGCAGATTCAAAAGTTTTAAATTTTAATTTCTGACGTATTCATATTGTTTTGTAGGAAAATTTTAAAGATATTTTAGAGTACTTACGTTTGTTTTGCCGAATTTATTATGGGAAGTTCTACATTTATACAAGGTCCGAAAATAYCTTTATGAATATTAATATAATTTATAAATTAATTTAAAAATAACTAATTTTTATTAATTTAATATTTTGTTTTTATATTAATTATGTATGTGTACTAAGTATTGTATTGTTAATTGGGTATAATTCACATTAATATAAATTTTATTTTAATAGTAATTAATATTAAATATATATTTTATTTTCAACTTTAGTAATTTTTTTAATACAATTATATAATTAATGTTATATGAGTTGAAATTTATTTATTATATTATTTTAAAAAGAAAATAGATGTTGCTTTAGAAATACGTATTAAGATAATAAATATTATTGATAATAATTCTTTTCGAATATTAAAAATAAATAAAAATATTATATAATTTAAATTAAGTTTGTTTTATACATAAATAATACTCGATTGAGTGATTTATTAGTCAATGAGTATATTAATTTGTTTAAATTAGAAAAATGAAAATAAAAATAAAGTAAATTAATAAAAGAAATATGTATAAAATAATGAATGAGCAAAAATTAAATATAGGATGTCCTCGACAGTCGGACAAATATTACAAATAATYATATTTATATATTTTTCAATTTCGCCATTAATCTTTTAGGTCATTTGATGAATTTTTTTTTGGTAATTTCTTTTGTATTTTTTTAAGTAAGGGATGCAGAGGACTCTCYCTTCGACTTCGAAAGAAATAGTACTTGTCAATTTGTTTATGCAAGGATGTGCACAACAGTGTGTTCCAGATTGCAGCTCGAACTCGGACTCCGGACCGACTTGAACGCTTGGGCGGACCTGTACAAAAAGGTGAGCACTCCGACGATCAAGTTAGTATAGGTCGGATTCCCAGTTTAGTTCCAGGCYAGAAATCATCGTACCTGATCGGGGAGTGAGGTCCTCTACTTATGGGTGGTGGTCCCGCTAATCTCGCGACGGTTACATTCGGTAATCTCGGGACCGTCGGTTACACCCGGTAATCTCGGGACCGACGGTTACGCCCGATAGTCACGCCGCAGACAGTTTGCTCACATTGGCCCCTACCGAGCTCCCCCGTAGGTCAGACCTGGGCCAGGTTCACCTCGGCCCTCATACTTAGCATTTGTCGGCGTTGGTGGCGGTCATCTCGGCTATCCGAGCTGGGCATGACTCATGAGTCATCTTGGAGCACCAATAGRGGTCCTCCACGTGTCCAGGGTATTCCCTTCCCCAAACACAATTACTGATGAATTACGTTTATATTGACAATTTTTGAAGAACGACCACATTTAATAAATATTTTATATGAGACMGTTCAACTAATACTCAATTTGACCTCAAAGATTTAGCTGAGATATCATATTGTTTGAAAAATGTAAGGAGGGAAACAAATAACAAACAAACCATTCAAACCTTTTATTATATCCATTTTTCTTCATGATTCGAAGTTCCGACTTTTTACCTATGCCCTTACTAGTTAAACTACGTTCGAGTTAGCTATATATTTTTTTTGACCGATACAAGTTAGCTATTATAGCTTTACTTATTATTATTATTTTTAAATAGTTTAATATATAAGAGTAGGATTTGAATATCACATATTTGTTAAAAAATATGTAAGCCAATTGAATTAGGGTCGCCACATTATCAAATATATATATATATATATATATATATATATATATATATATATATATAATTTTATTTTATTTTATGAGTATTGTTTAATAGGTAGCAATTTTCAATTAAAAAGTGATTTCGAATTTACACGACCATATTTTCTTTCTTGAGATTTCAAAATGAATTTCGTTGTAATTCTAAATGATTTAAAATATTGTTTTTACGTTAAAAAAAAAAAATCCTCAATCAAAATGATTGGAATTATCTATTACCTGTATTCAACCAGGGGTTACGAGCATGAATCTCACCCATCCATTAATTATACAAAAAAACAAATAAATTTAATTTAATAAATTTCAAATAATTTCGTTTCTAACGAGATAAAAAAAWTTAAAATAAACTTTGCAAAAAAAGAATGAAAATTTTCTCATAATTTTTGGTAACTGTAGTGAAGCAGAGGCAGAGAATGGCCCCTGGACCTTGGCCCCGCCTAATAAATGCAGCCCCAAAACCGCCGGCCAACTTCCGCCGTCGTGTGCTCAGGCACCATACAATACCCGCCATTTATCGCCTCCTCTACTTACCAACCAGCACGCTTCTCCAATCATCGCATATGAACCCTAATCACTCCCTTTCATCCACCGCATTTCCCTTGCCACCTCTAATTAGTTCATCTGAATCGAGGCGGCATTGCAAATTGGAAGCGAATATTGTTCGAGTAGAATCATCTGAGCGGTGGTGATGCAGCTTGGTCAGCGGACTTGYCGCACGATGAGGTTTTTAGAAGGATTAATCTAGATTGTGAACGGCAATGGTGAAAGTAAGTTTCTGATTAKTCATTGCCTATAGTATGAAACCACATATATTAGTGTTTTTGTTTGTTTTATTCGAATATTTATGACCAAGCTGCATCACCACCACTCAGATGGTTGGGAAAATGTTCAGTTGAGTATTGTTCGGGCACGATTAATCATGCACTAGTATAATATTTAACATAAAACAAAARCTAAAATATTCAGGTCCACCAGCAGTGGCTACCCCAGAAAAATATAAATGAAGAAATTAAAAAGGAATAGTATATTAGATTAAAGTGTTGAACTGTTGATTAGTAAACATTTCTTTGTCTTACATTTTGTCTTGGACAGAGAAGACAAAAACTCAAGCACCATCAAACTTGACAATATCTGTCCCTATCAAAGAAACACTAATCTCAATTCTCAAAGCTTCTGGAAGTTGGGTTGAAAGCTTTCCAATTTCCAAACCACAGAAGTTCTGAGGTTGCCGATTGGCATTTCACTGGAAATTGTTACATCCTAAACTTGGCATGTTTTGATAGAACCAACATCCCATAGTTAGCTGAAATGCTAACATAATTGAGCAGTTCAATTCAAGGCAGTAGGAGAAACCATTTTGGTTCAGTTTCTGCTTTTAGCAAAGTATTGGTGGGGCGGGGGGGATTCCATAAAGTTGTCGATGAGAAATTGTTTTAAAATATATGGCATAAGAACTATATATAAGTGATAAGTCATATCAGGTCGGTATGCTGTATACTATCTGTACATAAAATGGTCCAAATAAAAATCCCAACAGGAAACAAATGCAGTCATGGTGATGRTTTGTGGTTCGAAACAAGCTGGTAGCTCTTGCTCCCACCTCGAATTCTGATATATCGGSTCTCTCTGGATTCAACTCCACAAAGATCTGAAGAAGAGATTCAGTGCCTAAACTAGTTGTACTTTGTTGCTACTGATATTTGCTTCTCCTTCTTTGCCTCTGCTGTGAACCCACCACAACAGATTGGTAAGTGAGTTTCCATCATCAAAATCTTTCAAGTTCCTTATCTTCTCCAAAGCACCATCTTTGTCATAAATGCTTTCCAGGGCATAAACAAATCCTTTCCATCCTTCCCCAACTCCTTCTCTTCCTAGAGAAGGCAATGTCCAGTTCACAAGCTCCCTTACAAAGCCAACATCCGAGAACAAGAGCTCAGTGATTGGCAATACGGGTAACACCTGAATTCCAAGCTTACACTCTCTCCATTCACGAGGAGCAAACCATAATCCGCTGTCCCTCTTGTTAGACCACAATACTCCCACTAGCCTGTTTTCCTTAACAAACTCTTCCTGGTACAGAGTTTCTCCTTCTCTTACTTGCCACCACATTTGACCTGCTTTAATTTCCAATGCTGCTAGCATAGAGCCAATAGATACAAGATGGGCGTCTCCATAGGCTAACCCCACCAAAGCTGCAGAATAGTAAGCATTTACTGCTTCACTGATGCTCTCTTGACCCCGGCCATCCATGAATTCGGTCAATCCCGTACCCCAAGAATGCAACTTGTACACATCAAAACATCTCAACCTTGGAAACTTTGAATTGGATCGCCTGCTCAAGTTCATGATGTCTGCCATAAGAGAATAAGCTTGAGGACTGTACTTTCTCCCCCAAGCGGGGTCGATTTTCACTAGCACAGCAATGGCATAGAGAAAGTAGCCCAGATGATGATGGTGATTATTATATATTCCAAACCCAAAGTCTGCGACAGAGTCAAATGACCCTTCTTTGCTGACAATTCCACCCCACTTTCCATCATATACAAAGCCATTCCCGTCAAATGTCCCGTTTAACCAAGGTTCAATTGCACCCATTAGAAACTTTCTTATTTCTGGAATCACTTCAAGACATCTCACTTCCTCAGCAATCACCGCCAACCTTGCTGCTCTTGCTATCAATTTACCATAAGAATAAGGAGATGTTGTTGTCATAGTTGTTGAATTTAGGGCCTCAACGTCTTTACGAAGTGCAGAGATAATTTCAGCGAAGGATTCTTCCTCTACACCCCTAATTGAATGCCAGCATACTGATACAGGTTCTGGTTTCAAAACCCATAAACTTCCCACCACACCGACAAGGTCACCATCTATRCTTTTATACTTGAACTTATCCAAAATAACTACATCATTATTAGTACCTGCTAGGAGACGAATATGCAGAGGGTGTGCAAGCATGAGCAAATCCCCCCATCCTCTCGTCTCCCATTTGTATTCCATACAAAATGGCTTCGTAAATAGTGCCTCACCCGAGACCGGGTAACACGAACTAAACCGGTCAAGTATCGGTTCACATTCTGGGTCTGAATTTGGCAATGCTGCAATCCGAATAATGCCTGCAAATCCGCCAGAAGTAATCACAGAAAGATTATGCGTCAGATTGATCGGACATGACGAGTATATTAGCCATGTCTGATTGTTTTTCAATTTAACTGTGTATTTAGTGAGTGCATTATTAAAGGAAAAGGAGAGAACTTCATGACTGGCGGAGATTGAAAAGGCGGCGCCTTTGGAAACTGTGAAAGTGAGAAACGGGCTTCCGCGGACGAGAAAGAAACGGAGGTTGGAGGAAGGAATATCTAAAGTGACATTCAAATCATTGAATGAGGAAATTACATGAGATTTCTGGGGAAGCGGCTCTATTTTTTCAGAGGGATAGATGGTGAGGTCAGGGGTGAAGATTTGAGATTCGGAAGCTGAGTTGGAGGAGATAGATGGGTACGAAACAGAGATGGAGGAAAGCGAGGATTTGATCAAATAGGGGTGGATGTACTCAGGTTGGTCGCCATTATTGAGTGTAAAGTTCTGGAAGAAACTGTTCGTAGGGAGAGGCGCTGAGAGGAGTTCATGGGAAAAGAAGGGGGAAGGATCAGGGAGGACTGTGGACTGGGTTGGAGGAAACAGAAAGGGAGTGGGTTCTGATGGTTTTTGAGAAGGTTCTGGCGGTGGTGACTTGGGGGGCTGTTGTGGAGGTGGAGATGGAGGAGGAGGTGGTGGTGGTGGTGGAGGTGGTGGTGGAAGGCGCTGTGGAGGGGAAGAGCGACGTTTCCCTTTGATTGCCCGTCTGAGTTCTCTTTCTATCTTCTTGAACATGGCTGGAATCTCAGCAACTTGAGATTCGTGGTAATAGTACTAACGGCTCCAAGCCGATAAAAGCTGCAGAAAGATTGCAACTTTTTGCAGGTAAATATATGAATTATGATCGAGGACGAGAGGATAGAATGGAAGTGAAGTTGTAGGCGTAGGGTATTCCTCATTTTTTGTAGTTTGGAATGTGAGAGAATTTGAGGGTTGCAAGTTATGAACAGCCAGTAGGTGTTTTCCATCAAGAAAAGGAAGGAATAATATATGGGATCCTCCATTACTTTACCTACAAGAGAGATCATTTGTGATTTCTAGCATCTGAGAGGGCTGTTTAGTATGAGAACGAACATGTTGAGTGTGCGACGAAATTGGCATATCTTTCGTAACACAACCCACAAGAAAGTCCCTGTTCGGAGTTTTTTATGTTGTTTGAGGGTTTTTTTTTTTATTTTTATTTTTTATTAGTTCCACAATAGTCTTCATATTTACAAACCATCTGATAAAAAAATTGTTCGGCAGAACAAGCTTCTAAACAACCTGACCTCAATGTTTATTTATTTTGTAATTAGCAGGAATTCGGCTTAATCCCACTGATGAAAGAAAATAAATTTTATTACCATACAGGCTTGTCACACCTTTTCTTTACAAACTTATTAGTTCCTATATCACAATTTATCCCAACTTTCTAGTAATTAACGGCCACCCAATAAAAAAATTTGAAGTAATTCAAAGAGACAAATGGACTGATATTACAGTATTGATTATAAATAAACTATATATTTTTCAACAAAACTCATCTACCCATTCCCTAAACATTTTCAATCTGTATCTTCTCTTCCTGTCTTCAGTATATCGAGTAGAAACTCATTCCACGTGTCAATGGGTCCCGGCAAACACCAGTGCACACAGTCAGCCACACTCACATTCCTAGGAGGGGCATAATGGTTTGGATGCCCATCTGGTCTCATCAGCATGGCTTCAGTTGTGTCCAACAGCCTGAATTGCAGGCCTCTCTTCATCCCCTCCTTCTCCGCTGCTCTGAATTCCTCCACCTGAGCCTTATGTAAATCAAAAACAAAGCTTTCCCAGTTCATCTCTTCCTTTGTAAATGGTCTCGTCCTTGCACAGTTCCCTCCTTTGTTCCAATCTCCATTCTCGAAGTGCGATGGAGAAAACGTCCTCAGAAATGTCACTCCTTTGTAGTCTTTGAGGCCCATAATCGTCCTAAAGGCAGTTTGGAAAACTTTTCCGTAGCCATAGTAGTTCCAAAGCTGTGTGACATTATTTTGCTGGCAATTGTAACATCCTATCATTTGACCATTTTCGTAGTATATTTGGGGGCGAAAGAACCACTGTCCTGACGAGAAGATGACATAATCAAAAGATTCGATGTCAGAAGCCCAGGCTTGGTCTGCCTCATCCAAGTATAGATTCATTAGGCTGTTGGAAGAGAAACCATTCAGGTCTGCATCCCTGCTTTTAACCAAATACGGGGACCAGAATCTTGCCACTGTGAAATTGTAATCAGTAAAGAACCACCTCTTGAAATCATAGCCTAGATTGAATTTTTGAGACATATCCACGGGATGAGACACCTGCAGCATATTCAAAAGAAGATAAAAGTAAGGGGAGGCTTTTAGCTGATGGATTCTTGAGTTTTTGCATTTTCAATGTGTTTGGAAAATGAACTTACATTGGAGAGTAGACACAGCAGTGACTGCATTTGATTTCTAGCGACAGAGTCTCCAACAAAAGCAAGGGACTTCCCTTTAACAATTTCCAAGAACTGAGCAGGATCAAAGAGAGGGAGCTGACAGTCATCTGGTTTCCACCTCCACTTCAAGAATTCTCTGTCAGGTCTTCCATACTTTAAGCAGTTCTGATATTCAAACATCATGTCGCAAGTGTCATTTGTGTAGTAGGGTGGCTCAAATTTCGGTACCCAATTGCCGCGAAACACATCACATTTCTTGTCTAATTCCACTGTACTCGAGCTGGTGAGGTTTTTCCAGAGATTTGGCAGTGATGAAGGCAAGTTCTTGTTTGTGGACAGAGGAATGATGGTAAGAAGAATCAGTGTCAGAGCTAGCAGAATCCCCTTGTAGGAATTCCACAGCACTGATTTGTTTCCAATAGGAGCTTCAAAAGCATGAAGTTTCATGTTGAGAATGGCTCTGAAATCTAGATTCCTAGTGTTATTGGTCATATAACTCTCTCTCTCTCTCTCTCTCTGTGATAGGTCCACGTAAAAAGCATTTTTGGGTAATTATTGAAAAAGCATTCATTCATATAATATGATGCTGCTATTCTTGGCTTGGATTACCTACCAAACCACCATCATTATACAACTTTGGTTTTATTAGGTAATGCATCATATTTCATTATTAAAGACTAAGTTGGACAGATGGAAAGACGCAATTTATTTGGGCCACCGACATCCATACAACACTCATACAGATTAYAGACAGACATCCTCAAAAAAATTCTTGTAAGAAACATGCTTTACAGATAAGGTTACAGAGAAACTACCACATGGAGCAAGTTAAGTTGTTTTTAAATTTTATTTACAGCTTTATTCCTCTGCCACTTTCAGGGAAACAGAGGAAAAAATCCCTTTAAAATCAGTAACCTTGACATCGTAAGTACAAAACCAGTCTGGTTGTACAGAAATTCGCGCCATTCTGAGGTACATCCTTGACCCTGTCCTTTCCCAATGCTGTTTACTGTAAGTTTTCATGTAAAATAACTTTAGTACGTATATAATATACATGATGAAAAGAGAATTGAACTTTTTTCTTTTGCTAAAAGCTTGAAGCAATCATTGAGATGATTTTAACACTGAGCCACATCATAGCTCAAAGCATAGGTCTGAATCATCAGTTTTTGGGTGGCCTACAAGTGATAGAGGCCATTGATGATTATGTTTAGAACAGAGTGATAAAAACTTAGCTTAGCATTGAAGGTTTGCCTGTTTAATTATTGCTTCTTTGAAACTTGAGTTTGACTTTTTTTTACACTGAGATTTACTGGTAACTGGAAAATTCTTAAATAATGAACCAAATAATGGCTAATGGAGGTCAATGCGCCTAGCTGGAGTCTGAATTAACAACACTTATGCAAGGATAGAATCTTCTTGGACAAGAAAATGGGCAGTTGGGTTTAGATTATTATATTCAAGTGGTTGTCATTTTTCTTTTGTTCTTAGCAACATGGTATAGACTATAGAGTAGGCTATATCAGTACAGTTGGATTTTCCTTTTATCTTTCACCGTAATCCCTTCTTTATTTATTTTTTTAAATATGAAAAATAATTCAAAATGGGTGTTGTCAAGAGATCKGGACTGGATAGAGATAGAGATAGAATTAGGAGAAAGTAGCTGATGGTATCCACATATTCATTACCAATCTAATCTATATGGATGACAGTTACAGGGATGGTACTACCTCACCTCTTTTTTTTTTTGCTTTTTTTATCCGTAAGTATATGGATCAGCTTGCTCACACCTTGATATGGATCAGTTTGCTCACACCTTGACCATTCTCACGAGACAACTGTCTAATCCTAAATATTATATTTCAGATAGGTAGCTACTATAGTTAGAATTCATTCCCTCAATCTCGTTTAAATTTTTTTTATTGAATAAATATCGGATTTGTGTTGGGTAAAACCAAGACTAAAAATAAGTATAATGTGTAGTTCAATGCAATATCCAAAACACATCAGATATTACTCATTTGATATATCTTGAGGAGATCAGGAGAGTGGTGGAGTACAAAATGAATTATTTCGTAAAAGCATTAGTTGGAAAGATGTATGCATAGAAACTTAGTTTATTTCCAAAAGAAGCAAATTAAGTTTGCTTAAATTATGCTTTTATTGCTTCTTCTTTGACAATGTCTAATTAAACTTTAGAGACAAAATATACACACAACTTAAACCAACAATGGTATAATTATACAAAAACACATAACAAGAAGAACAAAATATGAATTTTGAAACCCCCCCATTAAGAAAATAATAAAAAATGAAAAGAAAACTCTCCCCCTCTGTTCTCTCTATCCAAATTGAAGCCTCTCTCTGGCCGATCTGATCCCCTCCATCTTCAACATCTCAAGCAAGAAATCACTCCAGGCATCAATGGGGCCAGGCAAGCACCAGTGCACACAGTCATTATACAATGTCACATTCGCACTAGCCAAATGTCCATACCTGCTAG